GATACAAATGAGGAATGTAGACTATTACCAATATATATATTTATGTAATTTGAATTTTTTTATGTTTACAAAAATTGTACGGCACTCGTCAGATAAACAGCCAAATTTTAAATTATTTCAAGGGTTACTAATTGATATACGATATATCACATGAAACGCATGACATTGATGCTATTTAAGTTATGGTACTTAAAGTTGCGTAAAAGGAATTTTCTTGCATGCTTGTCTACGAGATGTTAGTTCAGATCTGTTATTCAATGTTCCTAGGCTGGTTTTGCAGATTATAAAATATTTCTTCTATAAACATAGRTTGCAGCGATTTGAAGATGTGTTTACAATTTTTGTGCGGTACGAACATGACTTTTTGCTGATGTCTCAAAAAAGAAATCATATCTATGGCTATGCTCTAGTTATTGAACTATTGAGCACTCTGAAAGCAATTTAGCTTTAAATTGCGTGTGCTCAATCAAAATGTCATTTCTTTGTACCTTATCGCTACTAATTTTCGCGAGATTTCGAAAATTAGAAAAAAAAGCAATAATAAAAGCTCGAAAAAATATTTGCGCAAAAATGCACATTTATATTTAATTCATTTACTTCAGTAAGAAAAACTCGAAGTTATGCAGATAAAATAGTTTTATTTAACAGTAACAGGAATAACATGTTTAATAATGTCAACAAATGGACTATTAACACTCCACAAGCCCAAGTATCCTAAAACAATACAAAATAGCTAAAATGTTTACAAAGTGATATCTTTCACTATATTCCCCTGGTATTTCAATGTGAAATTCTTTAGTTTTCCGAACAGAAATGTCGAAATCACTTGTTCATCCGCATCGAGATGAATATGGTCGTCTGCTCCCTCCAAGAGGTGTTCAAGAACAGGCTGGAAAGCTGTTAGCCAGATTAACTCATTATTTCCCTTGTTGACTTGCAAACGAATGGCTGCGATCTGTGGGCACACTTCCAGCTCTTGAAGTACACCACACTGACACTTGATTACACCTTTGCGAGAAATTTCTGTAAGGGCTTTGTTGCATGCTCGACAACAGAAATACTTCTTGTAGTTATCAAGTAACTCAACTTTATCAGCTTGAATAACATGGATGTCGAAGAGATCAGATGTAGTTTCTGGGCCTGGYTCAGGAAATGTTCCTTTGCTCTTTTCAGCTGTGGTATTTGGAGTCGCAGTTATGTACTTTTTGGAATCATATTCCTTGACTCGTACGTTGGTTAACACGTAACAAGATTTGTCATGAATCTCGTCAATAAGATCGTTCCACAACGTGAGTTTGACACTTGCTGTACTAGAATCAGTAATGGCACATTTATCGAGTATGACAAGCCCATCCTTTGTAGTGTTTGGCTGTCCGTGAAGTGTCATCTTTCCTTGTACAGTTATAAGTTCGTTACTTGATAACGTTGAGATATCAGCAAGGACAGTGATTTTCGTCTCCTCTTGATTTTAGCTTGAATTGGCTCAATGGGAACAACATTGTTTTCTTTAACAAATTGATTTGTAGATTTACTGATCTTATTTTTTCCAGCTTGTTCATCATCAAATTTGATATAAATAACACTTGGTTTGTGTGTATTTTGGTTAACATGTATTTTAATGATAGAACCTATTTGACCATTGATGAGTCTATCTGCAATATCAATATTGCTTGTTAGCATTACTCTTGCACCTTCTTTAACATGTATGACATAATCTAGTCCACCAGTGTCAGACCGTCCTTTAGACAATACTATGTCAATATCTGTTTTGGATACATTTGGAGGATACTGGTCTGCTGCTCTAAGATTAAACACTGTTCCCGGTAATTGGGTTAGTTTGGTATTATTATGTTCATCGACAGGTTTATTTTCTGCGTATATATGTATAGCATCTGACGGATAATTTTCGGCTTCTGGATGTATTGAGCGTGATTGAATGTGTTTAATATCTTGCTCAGTCTGGGAAGCAGTTCGAAATCTGTTTAACATTTCAACAAATGGTTGGTCATCTTTTGAACGCATATTATCAATAAGCTCTGTCATTCTAAAAAGATGCCAGGGATGACACAGATTATATGTATCAATGTTAAAATTGTCAAATACTGGCTTTTTCTTTATTGGTGGTAATTGATAAAAATCTCCTCCTGCAATGATACTTATTCCAGCAAATAGCTTAGAGGCAGGTGTAGCAAATATTTCTTTTAATCTTTGATGGATATGGAGCAATGTGGTATTTCCAACCATTGAAATCTCATCTACTATTATGAGTCTCAGTTCAGATAAGAAGAGTCTCAATTGTGTTCGGTTTTGGTCTGAGAGTGGTTTTAAAGTAGACCCTGCTTCTTTTGGAATACCTAGAGCAGTGTTAATGGTAGTGCCATTAATATTGATAGCAGCAACACCTGTTGGGGCCATTAAGAGAACTGATGGCAATTCAGGATTAACAGCGACATGTCTAAATGTTTTGGTAACACAGTATGGTATATTGTTTTAATCAAATGGCTCTTGCCAGCTCATCCTCCTCCAGTAAGAAATACATAGATTTCTTCAACATCCTGGGGTTTAATACAATTGATATTTTTAACTTTATTTCTACACCAGGTGAGAACATGATTAAATGTATATCGCTGTCTTTTATTTAAAGATCTCACAGAATGGCGCAGTTCATCATCAGTCATATCTGAAGGTTGTATATACCGTGATATTGCAGATGCTTGATGATTATTAGACTCGGGATCTGATGAAGAGAGTTGTGAAGGTATTTGTTCATTAAATGATTCTTCAGCATTTGCTTGTTCTTCTAACTGAGAATGTATATCATCATTTTCTTGATCATTCATAGAATCATAAGAATGAATGTTGCCTTGGTTATTTCTTAAATTTTCGAGTGCTTCAGTCACAGCATCTGTATCAGGCTCAAAAATAGATCTGTTATGCTCTACTATGGGTTGTATATCAGGGTTATGATATGTTGTTGCATATGTACCATCAGAAGCCAACAGTTTGTTCTCATCTCTCCATGGATAGTAGAGCATTAGCAAATGATGAAAAAATTTCTCAGGTTYTTTTTGCTTGTTTGGTGTGTGGTATCTGATGACAGCCTTGACTTTTCTGCGTTTCATTATCTCATGTCTATTAATCGTATTTTGTCTGGAAGTGAAAAGTCTTCATTTTCTGTAATATGTTGTAATTCTATCAGGTTGTCAGTAAGGATCTCTGGTTGTGCATCAGCTGTTTCTTGACATTCTTTCTTATATTCTTTGTAATAATAGGCTACAAACTGTGCTAGACATAATCTGTTTACAGAAGGGATTGAGTTAGGCCTTTTAGTATAACGTTCTATTATGTTTGATTTGTACACTTCTGTACTTTTGTCATCAAGTTCTTCAAGCTCTTTTTGAGATTTTGCCATTCTTATTCTTTTGTCTGGTAAGTCAGTACTAATAAAGACTGCAGCGGGGAAAATTTTCCTAAGCCAAAGTTCAGGCACACATCTGTATACAGCTTCTTGGGAGCTAACTTCCCTAGTAGACAAAAATGCAGCACCAATTTTTTTCAAACCTTCTCTCACATTCATATTTGCAACTTTAGCCTCCTTTGCAACATTCATAATTGCTTGAGAGCATTCTGTTTCATCTTTAGTAAAGTATGAACACACATATGTTACACACTTGTAGTGATTAAAAACTGGCTGTAAATCAACATTAGCAGCAAACCCTTTTATTCCAGCAATAAAGTAGTTATTAATAAAACAGCTATCTATTGGTCGTTTTAAATGTAATTCATAGTCAGAGTCTGGTGAAATAGATAAGGCACCATAGTACTGCTCTTTTGTGATACCAACAGAGTTAAAAATATCAGATTCTGTAAGTGTAGAGTCATAGTTTGGTTTACTTGGATTAAGTACATCATCTATCTTTTCTTTTACCAGTGTGAGAATTTCTTTTCTTTTTTCTAGAGTACTAATTTTTATGTCCTCATTCATGTCATTAGATAGCGGCTCAGCTACAATAGTTCTATTTGTAAAAAACTGACCAAAATTGAATCTGCAACGAATATTTTTGTATTTTCTACATGTTTTAGAATGACTGTGCTTTTGATAGGTCTTGACTAGTTCATGTAAATGAGGATCTTCATTCTCATCTGGTAGGTAGGCTTGTACATGCTTGTCAATAAAGTCAATATATGCCTGTTTATTATCTTTTTTTAACTTTGGGCAATGTGAGGTCCATATCAAAGCGTGTAAGTGAGGCGAGCCTCTCATTTGAAATTCAATGCGCAATGCATAGTAAACTATTTTACCAATTGGGTTTGCATTAGAGAGTAGAACTTCTGTAAAAAATGTTTCAACTCTGTATTGGAAGTGCTTAGCAACAACTACAGGATTCA